AAAAAAAAAAAAAAAAGAGAACATATCTGATTTTGGAATTTTGATCCGTAGACATGATGGGGAGTTTTTGATGGTCTTTTTATGGAAATCTGAGAGCTTCGACATCACACATGCAGAAGTATTTTTGACCCTTGTTAATGAACTAGAAGCTTCGACATCACACATCCTTGATTTAATTAGTTAGCATATTAGTTTTCAATTTCGCATATTTCACTTTCCAACTTCTCACTGTTAGTTAATTTGTAAACTTTTAATTTATTCATCAATTTTGTCCAACATGTTCTATGTACACAAAAAAGTTAATTTGACCTAGCTAATTCAGGCTGCTCCCACCACGGGAATTCAATTACTTAATGATCCCCCGTCGCGCCACTCTCTTGCGTGGCAAAACTATAACGGGTATATTTCCCGCGTTCATATATCACGTTTCTCGTATCTCTATCTCTCTATTAGAAATCAAATGCTCTTTAAAATACAATACATTATTAGAAATATAAAAAATATATGTATTAAAAATAAAAAAACATTTAAGGCATTATAATAAGTAGTTAATTCGGATATAAATAGTATCAAAAAGTTACATTATCAATCTCAAAAAAAAAACATCCTAATTTTTTTTAAAACAATTCTTACAAAAGTAACATTCTTATCATACATATCAATCTGATTAAATAATTATATAAAAAGTTTATACAAGCAATACATTATAATTAAATTCTTTCGAAAAATAAAGTTCCTTCGACAGAAAATACAAATTAATAAAAATTAAATAAATTTTATAGAATAAAACATTGGTGAAAATATTAGTGATAATTCTTTAAAATTTATAATGATTAAGGAAAGTATGAAAAATAATAATAATTAAAGTATTCATTACTCTTAAATCTAACTTTATATCAACTATTTTCTTTTTCTCAAATCAGAGCCCTACCAAAAAAATGTTTCATTTCTCCTGCCCTTTTTTCGCATCAATTCTAATTATATCTTGCTTCTCAGCTATAAAAACACCAGCAATCTTGTTTACCTAAATGGACTACGAATTTCAGTGTATAGTTTTTAAATGATTTATTCTATTTTACGATTCCATTCCCATATTACATTATAATGGTGTTCATCAGCATGCTTCAGTACATCATCTTCAAGTTTCCAATCCCTTTTAAACACAGCAATCTGAGAAGCAAAGCCGGGTTCAACATCAGCCGAACCACCAACCCCGCTAAAGTGCACTTTGTAATTGTGCCGAGCAGCTAAGTCACATGCCCATTGTCTGAATTGCTCTCTGGTCCACTCAAATTTGTGATCATGATTACGAAACTTACATGACTGTAAGAGGGTTTTCTCGTCTGATTCCTCTTGTTCTTGGCTTGGAGGATTCGACCTCTGAAGTACTACGTTGTATTCAAAATTTGGTGTAGAAACAATGAGAATTCTTGGACGAAAAGAACTTAATGCCACATCCCCAAATAAACAAGCTTGATCTTCATCCATATGTTCAATCACCTACATTGTATCAGCGATTCATATCAGTTGATTCATAGGTTTAAATATTGTCGCACAATGAAAATATTATGTTAACACAGGGCACGGAAACATGACAGTGATGGCATAATACAAGACCAATTCAAATATAAATACATTCCCAGTGAACTGGCACAGAAAGTAACGAGAGATATACAGTGCTTGACTGCTTGTTCATGCACTGGTCAAAGAATGATTAATACCAAAACAACAGCATTACACAGTTAATAAGACTAAAGTGCTTGAACTAGATTGTGTAGATGAATACTTGCAAACATGTACATGCTACCAAAATCTACCATGAGACCAGTGAGACTGTAGTCACTCCAGAATCATCATAAATGTTCATCTTCCTCACCTGCTCTACTAACTAATTTCATCCCAAGTAGCTATTCTGCGTGATTGTAATGTTCACAGTCAAACTCTTTTTACTTTCAATCTCACGTTAGATAATTTAATTCCAGCTTAGAATTTAGATTAGATCGGTATAAATTTATTAAGCATTGCCTGGTCATAAAAAGAAAAATCATGACACAATGCAATTTAATTTTAAAAAACCCAAGTTATTGATGACAAACTTATTTATCAGATAGTAAACATGCTCTGCACTCGACACTAATCAAATCATGTATAATATATGATTTACTTGTAGAAAAAGTAGACATGAAATAAGTCTTGCATTAAGACAAGCATATTAAAAATGAAATCAACAATGCCAAAATATATAATGGATTGTGAAATTTACCTCTAAACAAGTACCAATATCAAATCCATGCAACTGAGAGCCAAAATTTGTAATTGAACCTTCATAAAGAATTACTGATTTTATGCTTGTCCATTGTCCACCAGCATCTGAATTTGTGACTAATTTTGAATTAAGAATCTGCAGAGTTCATGCACACAACCAAGCAGCTTTACTAACAAAAAAATATTAATACAAAACCACCAAGCCTTTTTCTACTAAATGGGGTGGTTACTTGGATCAAACAATTTCATGATGAAATTCAATGCATAAATAAAATTTCTGCACTAGACAGAATACAAGTCAGCTGCTACTATCCGTCAATATTAAAATAATTCCCTCAACTTAAAAACAGCACATCCACATATTCACCAATAAATGATAAAATTGTATGACCAATTACTTTGATATTTTCAAAAGTTATGGACACTACCATGCACATAGCAACAATTTGCTAATTTCAAGCCTTCTCAAATTATGTAGAAAAGTTGGGACACATAATTAAGGATACAACTTTCATCACTTTAGCACATTTTTAAGATCTATCTAGTTCAGACAAGACTCCCCCAACATTGTTATATGTTATGAACAACAGAACCTAGCTCTTTTTTGTACATCTAAGCATAAACCCTACGTACTATTAAAAAACAAAAACAAGTACTGTAATATGAAAGTGCATGTGAGATGTGACCTTTGCAGCACGGCTAAGACCCTTCTGTGAAATATCAACACCAGCCATTTTCTCCAAAGATGTTGGGTAATTTAATAATGCTTCCAACAAGCTTCCAGATCCACATCCAAAATCAATCTATGATGAAAGAGAACATCAAATTCACAGTTCAGATTAACCAAAGAAAACCAAAGGTGAAAAGATTTTGTATACCAATGTAGAAGCATGAGATTCTAGAATTTGTTGCACTGCAAATTCCACCCGTTGCTTTGAAAGTGGGGGGCTGAAAAGAGCCTGCTCCATTCTCTCCTCAGGAGGTTCAGTGACCTTGATCAAACTTATTTCGTATTCCAAACAACAGTCTTCTGAAAAATATACAGCCATTGACAGTCAGCGTTGGAGATTCAGCAATTTAACCCCAAAATGAACCAGGGAGTGAGAGGTTGGGAGAAAGTAACTCACTAGAAGATAACAAGGAAGGCATTTTGACTGAATCATCAGCTGAAGCAAAAATCAAATCAGAAGTGAGTAAATTTGTAGTGAAATGAGCATACTGGCCAACAGACATCTGCGTCACAACTTCCTCAATATAGAAAACCACAGCACCAAGTCCCACTTCAAACTCAAACTCATCACAAACTTCTATAACTTCTTTCACATTTTCACCCTCCACAGCCAAAGAAACTGAATACCTTATACAAGGTAAAGATCCATTGCATGGACAGACACCAGAATATGGACCTTCAATCTTTAATGAGTTCACTATATTTCCCAGCATGTCACATGATGAATTCCTATATATTGATTCAACTAATTTATTGCATTGAATTGCATCAAGCTGACCATTGTGAGTTGATTGGCCCACAAAAATATCTGTGAAAATGTTTTCATAATAAATCTGGATATTAAAGTTGTCTGCAGTCTGACAAAGCTGCTCAAAAGGGACAATCATACTCTTAAAACACTTGTTTAGCCATGATAGAAGTTTCAATGAAGCATTCTGAATAGCATCATTCTGCTTCTTATAACAATCCTTTGGGGAACACTGAAGTATTAAATCTCCACGTCTAGAAAACAATTTTATTTCACATTTAAACAACTCTGAATCTGAACTCTTTGGAGTTGTTACAGAAACCCCATTGACAGATTCAATCACATTCCCACAGGACTCTGCAACCTTCAAACATGATCCTGACAATCCAGACAATCCAGACAATGTATTGAAAGGATGACATGTAATGGAAAAGAGAGGTTCAGACAAACGGTGCTGGCGGCAAAACATACAAAGTATATCCCTGGGAAGGGAACCCCTCCAGTTTGCTCTTGTTGTGAATTTTGATGGCAACTCAGATGCAAGTATTGCCTCTCTGGACAATTTATAAATGCCGCCTGGGGTCTTCCCAAGAAGCATCCTGTAATGGCGACCAAATAATCATTAAATGATGCAAAACTTGTGCAATTTCGCAGAAATAGATATTGAAAAATTCTTATTGCCAAAAAAGAAGACAATTACAAATGTTGCCAAAGAAAATATTTGATAAATGTAAAATTGAGGAGACAAAATTTGACTGTCAAATTCAAAAAGGGTCAGGTATATGAGAAACCAAAGAATATGTGAGGCACCCAAAGCTAATAGTTATTTCAGTGGGCTGAAATAATTTGAATAAGGCATGTTGCCTAAAAATAAAGTAAGATTGAGAACGATATCTATCATTTGAAAAAGTATTGTACTGCTAGAGAATGGGGAGAAAACAAGGCCTCTTGATTACTCAATAAAGTTCATTTCTTTTATAGTTTAGCTTCAATCAGAAGAGGAGGGAAACTTCTGAGTTTAAGAATAAAAGTATCTATACTAGTGAAAAAACTTAGTTTGCAGAGACATCGGGAATTCTTTGTAAGTGACAAAAATATTTAATAAACAGAAAACTTGTTACTACCATTGTCATCCAGGATATGCCACACCTTCACCCAGAAAAAAGAATGAAAAGCAAATATGTATTTGAATACAGACATACCCAGAAATAGAGATCTGTAATTTTATATTGACTCTGATGCTGATAGCCAGATACCAATGGGATTATCATTTCAGAAAAGAAAAGAAAAAAAAAATTACAACCATAGAAGAAGAAAATAGCAAAAGTGCAGCTTATTCAATTTGACTTTCATTTTGCTTTCCAAAGAAAATAGAAAAAGAACACATAAGAGATATACTTGGAGGGAATGCTTCCCCCCAGTCCAAAGACCATAATATCCTCACTAAAGAACTGGATACCTCTCTTTCATGTTTGCTAACCTATGGTTCTCATTTGTTCGCACTTCTTGCAATGTAACTATGTAAGCAAGGTTGTTACAGCATAACTCTTTTCTCTGTTCCTTTTTTATCTTCCCCTAGTATCAATATTTTTATCCCTCTATACTTCAGTAACCATGGTGGTGCCAAACAAATACCTAGAGAAATTATTTCTTACATAGATTAAGAGTTTGTCAGAATAAGGAAGACGTAGTCATAAGCATTTTCATCATTATGATAGTTTAGATAACAAGCCTGGCAAGGTCCATTTCTATGTTCAAAAATGATATTAAAAAAAAAACCCTAAAATAAATAATAAAAGAGAAAGAGAAAGAAAATTTTCCACAACCAAAGCACCAACAAAAATTTAGAAGTCCTGCACACGCAAAAAAAAATACTTGGTTGGCCCCTGTGATACTGCAAAAGTGCATGACATAATAACACATTTCTTTTTCTCAAAATTACTTGTAAGATTAGCCTAGAAGACAATATAAGGTTGACCATTACACAATAAAGAAGGAAAATTCAATGAATCATTTGAATTTAAAGAGACCTGTAATATAATCGAACTGTTACATCCTCATAGAAAAGATCTCTAGATTTCCGCGTATATCCAATGGTTGCTAATATTGCATCTCCAATTATATTTTGCCCGGCAAAGTAACTTGCCCTTGCATTCAGAGATCCCTTAAAATAAAGGGTTTCTTTTCCATTTGGAAAGTTAGAATATAGATCCAGTAGATATGATTTTGGAGCAGCAAAGAAAAGTCTTGTCTCAGAAGAAGCTTTACCCAAACTCCTGTAGAGCCCCAGAAGTCAAGAACAAGTTAGAAAGTAATCACCAAAACTACAAAACTTTTCTATAATGTCAGCATACCTAGAAATCAGAATATTGGCAGCATCTTGAAAACCAAGTTCATTTGCAATGATATCAAGGTAGTATTCTTTTAAAGAAATATGAAGTGTCAAATCTTCAATAGATTGTTCCACTGAACTAGGAATGCGTATGGCAGCAACTTGAATGCATTCTTGTGAACCATCATCTTCTTTCATTAATGACTCTATAATATCTTGTGGATATGGACTCTGCCTTCTAATCCAGAGATGTCGTTCAGAAGTAGCAAGAAACTGATATAAGTTTGCAGTGGCCCTCATTATGTATGAAATAACCAAAAATGGGTCTGACTCCACCTCAGGATTGATACATCTACACAAGCTAAAAATCTTTGCATCATATACAGCAATGACAGAAAGAGGAACCAATCCACAAAGATCACCTTCCCTCCACAAAGTTGCTCGAATGTGACCACTGAGTGGATGATCACATATAAGAAACTGTAGAGGTATGAAATGGGGGAAAAAGAAGGATATCAGACTGATTTAAAATTTACCAACAGATAATACCAGAACAACATTGCCTCGATAAATTAAATTCCCCTTTTCCCTTTTGACTAATAGACCAGACCACAAATGAAGTAAGATATAAAGAGTTCATTGGATTTAATATCTCCCAACTAGATATGTCCAACAGTTTTTAGAGAAAAACCAATGCTAAAAGAATTATAAAATCCACATCACAACAATAATCACACAAGAATTTATTGCAGTGAATCCTTGTCATTTACTACAAAAAAAACTTGATATTCAATAACTTGAAATGAACTACAAACTATAAAGTAACAACCAACAATGTCAATTAGGTTACTGTTCTCAAACTTCGCCAAATATCATGATTATTAACTTAACAAAGAACTGAAAGCTACATACAGATCATTTTAGTAATTACAACCTCTAAATATAAGCAAATATTTGGGGCAAGGAGGGGACTACTTTATAAGGATGGTCATGTCAAACCAAAGAGAAACTTGATGATTCTTTTAACTATCCAACCAAATACAATAAAATAGTTGACTATATAAAAGGAACGGCAGAGCTTTCATTATGCTTAGTTTCCTAACTTATGATAGGCATCACTTAATATAAATGAAGCACATACACTAATATCGGACACAACACAAACACTCCATCATGACTAATGTCCAAAATATAGGACACTAACAATACAAACACACACAAACAAGAGATTCAAATGAAATGAGAAATGAAAAGTGTAAAAAAATACCTAAATTAATAAACAATATTTGCATATTATTGTATATTCACCTTTTATCCATGATGATGAGTCACACAAAAGATACATTATTTACAATCTAAGCAATTGATCTCTTTACAAAAAATCTCAAAACAAGAAACTGAAGATATATCTTATAATAAAGGTATACAATATTCAACTTCTCAAATCAACTTTTAAGTTTTACAATTTTTCTATGATGCTAAGCCTCACAAAAAAAGTGAGACATTAATTTTTAATATTTTATATTATATTTCATGTTGACTTTTCTAAAATCTAAAAAATCTTTTCTAAAGTCTAAAAAAGTATTTTAAAAAAATACTAGTGTGAGTCCATCCATATGGAAGTGTCAGCTCAAGTGTCTAAGTCATACAAACATGTCATCTCGAGTGTCCTAACTAAAAAAATTCTTTAATTGGATACATAATGAGGAGTGTCAGACATGTGTCTATCAGGTGCTAGGAAGGTGTCCATGTTAGAAACGTGTCCAACATTGCAACATTTTCGGAAGGTTAAAAGTAAATTACCTACCTTTTCAGAAAATATATAGGCAATCCGAGCTACTAAACTTTCCTGTGCTTCTTGTGGAGTGGGATCAATGGTTTCTGGACAAATGCCAAGCTGCAGGATAGTAATTAATAGTTGTAGCAGTAAGTTAAAATGCCATAATCATTAAGACAGTATAAACACTTGAATAAAAGATATAACAATATAAAGCCAGTTCCTATGTAGCAGAGAAAATCTATAAGAAAATAACAAAATACTATTGAAATAGGAAGCATACATATGAAACAAACTGTAGCGGTAGAATCAATATCAGGAAAAATATTATATGCCTCCATAACATATTTGAGAAATTAGGTATAGTTTAAAAAAATGAGACAATGAGTCATGATAAATATGATTAAGCCCACAGTAAAAATGACCTCCAATACAGGGCATTGGCTAAAAACTACATCTTCCAGGAATTGAAATTCGTGTGCAATGAATGATACAATACATTACACAAGCATGATTATATTACTGAAAATACTCCCTTAGTTTGACTAGAAGAAACAAGAGTAAGATTCACATATATGGCAACCTCAGAGTGTTTGGCATTGACATTCTCAAATGCAAGAAAACAAACCCGTCATACCCATTTGACCACTATATCTTCTAAGCAGGACAAAAAATAAAAATAAAAATAATCAGCAATAGCCGAATTTAAAATAATTAGTAATTTACTGATTCTATCTTTTCTTGCTATCTTATAAAACACTTGTTTGAATAAATAACTAATATTCAAAAGGCAAGTGAGATAAGAAGTTGTAGCTAGATTCAAAACACTTGTGATTGTGACTAAAGAAAAGTAAATGCTGTTCTTATCATAAGTTCACAACAACCATAGGCAGATCAAATTGAAAGGGCAATCAAGTAAGAAGCATGATGACAAGAATCAATAATTTACATACTGATTGGAACTGGGTGATACCTTCTCTATAGCAATCTCTGCTGCAGATTGCTCTGCATCCTTCTTTTTCTTGAAGATTCCTGAGATGACAGAAAGTTCTGGAAGCTGCAATGTGCAACGGTAAAGGCAAGGTCCCATTTGCGGAATATTCAATCCTGGGCATTCAGTTTGATGAACCTCCTTCACTTCCTCCACCACATAGCAAGCCTTATTGCCAAAATTTTGGTGTATTATAGCCTTGGGCGTAAGGATTGGTTTTTTAGGTGCAACAACATGTTCTCTTGTTTCCATGACAAAAGCTCAGACCATCCACTATCCTAGAAAAAAAAAAAAAAAAAAAAAAAAAAAAAAAAAAAGGACCAACTAAGAACTTGTCCATCTCCAACATACTTGAAACTTGACATCATCATATCAACAAAAAATTATTTATTAAGGGTAACTAGTATACAATATAGACTGTGCAAAATAAATAAATTACACATACATTAGACTTTCCATTTTCTTGAGGGATTGTAAAACCTTTAACTGAAAGACGGGAAGAACACATTTGATTAAAACCTAATTTATTCTTCAATCAGCATTTAGAAGGTGGGGAAAATCAAACCCTCAATCATCAGCATTGCAAAAGTTATAACCTCGGAAATATTTGTTAATCCAAACTAATCATTCCAAAAATTTCTCTAATATACTTTTACCAACACACACACACACACACACACACAAAGAAAAAATAATTTAAACTTAGGAAACTAAAAGCAAGTCATTTGTAGTTGCCTAATCCATAAAGAACTATATTACTCTCACCCAAGTAAGTTTCGCATATTTTGGGATAATAACTGTAAAAAGGAAAATAAAAATTGATGAATTCCATTTCGTAGCCGATTACCAGTATAAGGAACAATGGTTGCACTGGCGTCAAAATTGGAACCAAATATTAAAATAAATAAATAAAAACTGGTTTGCTTCCACAGTATTGAAAGAGCGATGTTAAAAGGGCGAAGAGGAAGGCGAAGCAAGCATTGATAGTGATGGTAATAGAAGAAGCATGGGGGAAAAGGAAAGGAATGAAATTAAGCGCGGAATATTGAAGCTAATGGTGGGGAAGAATCAGAATAGGATAGAAAAGCAGTTAAAAGAGATTGCATTGAAGAGAGAAAAAGAAGTGACCTTGAGTAGGCACGCAATGGGGTTTGGAATGAGAAGGATATATGAGTGAAGTCAAGTGTGGGAAGAGAAGAGGGAAAGGTTCTCTTTTCAAGTGCTTTTCCCTTCATTCTCCCCCTCTCTCGAATCATGCGTCTACTCCTGCTAACTTCCTCGTTAAGGCTTTTTTTTTTTTTAAATAAATTCTTAAACTTTTAATTCAAGTGGGAATATTTTTTAAGAGTATATATATTGATAGATCTGTGTATACGTATTTTTAAATTGTAAAAATAATAATAATGATAATTAATATATATTCAAGAAAATAATTTATATGCCTACCTTATATCATTTTAATATATATACAAACACATGTTAGTTGAACATATCTTTGCATGACTACAATGTATCTGTCCTTTTTTTCAAATATAATTTGTGATTATCATTGTGCTTGCTTTACTTCAATACTGTTTGTATAATCTATATTTGTGAAGTTTTTGAAACCTCGCAATACGAATATATCTCGCTTCTTTTATATCAGATGTTGGTTCTTAATTACACATATTTGATTTAGGTTGAATTAGAAATTTATACTGTGTTTGAACTTTGAATAGTGAATTTTAGAAATTTATAGTGTATTTGGATGGTTAATTTTATAAATTTAATAAATTTTAAAAAATTAATTTTTTTTTATTTATTAAATATTTTATTTGAATAAATTAATTTATTTTTTTAAAATTTAAATTTTCAGTTTAGATAAATTAATTTAATTTATATTGTAGGAAATTGATTTTTTCATAAATAAATATATATTTAAATTTTAAAACAATACTTTTATAGATGGATTGGATATCTGTCAAAACCATGATGCTCATTGTGTTTTAATGTTATTAATCATAAGAGAGGAGAAGAAAATAAGAGAAAAGAGAGAGAAACAAAGAGGAGAAATGGAAACCAGGAATAAGAGAGAATGGAGAAAAGAGAGATGGAGAGAAAAGATAAAGAGGAAAAAAACAAAAGGAGATAAAAGTTAAAGAGACAAGTAAGAAAAGAGAAAAAAAAATTAAAATCGTACTCATCATTGTATTGATTTTAATAATATATTTAAATAATTTTATATTTACACATTCTTATATAATTTTAATTTATATAAATTTTAATTAGTTTTAAAAACATTATCTTTATAAATAAATTTCGTATGAAGTAGATATATCCATAATTTAAAAAGAAAATATTTATATTAAATTTATAATGATCAGTTTTTACTTTAAAAGTTGTTTTCTTCATAAAAGAAAATTTGATTAACACTAATCGTAGAAAAAAAAAAGGAAAAAAAAATAGTTATGGCTATCTGAATTCGTAGATTACTTTAAAAAACTATAATGATGGACATAGAGAAAATATATAATACTTATATAATATAAATTTCGTATAAAGTAGATATATCCATAATTTAAAAAGCAAATATTTATATTAAATTTATAATGATCAGTTTTTCCTTTAAAAGTTTTTTTCTTCATAAAAGAAAAATTGATTAACACTAATCGTAGAAAGAAAAAAAAAAGGAAAAAAAATAGTTACGGCTATCTGAATTTATATATTACTTAAAAAAAACTATAATGATGGACATAGAGAAAATATATAATACTTATATAATAATATAATATTTTTAATCTCATTTTATTTTGGCCGTTAACTAAAAGGCCCGTAAATTTTTCTCCCGCAATTTCACGTTTAGTTCATTTCTATTTTATTTTCAAGTAACATTTTTATCCTTATCTGTATAAAACAGTTAATTCATTTATTTAAACATCTAATCTAATTTATAACTATCATGCATTAATTAAAAAAAACTTTATAACAACATACTTAATATCTCATTAATTTTTTTCCATCATCTCTTAATAAATATTTTTTCTTACACATAAACTCAATGATCCAACCTCTAACCATACATTTAAGAAGTCACATGTATTATTTTTAATCAGATATAATCAACAATGATTATTATAAAATGCTAAATTTTAAAAATAAATTATTATATACATTAAGTTTATAATTTTATATTAGAAGGTCACATGATTCACGTTTGTTGATCTTTTATATGATCGAAAGTAATAAACATTTTTACATAACATTAAATATTTTACTATGATTAGTTTATTTTTTAAATTTAATTATTACTTGATTTGTATAACCATGATATTTATTATGTGGTTTTAAGTATAAATTAATTTGATTTAAAGTGTCAATTTAAATGTAATAAGTGTAGAATTACGATGTGTCTTCATTCTTAATAAGTAATATGTATGTATGAGATGTATTATATGAGAATGATTGATATTAACTTTTAGTTTAAAAGATTTAAACTACAAATACAATCACACCACCTTTCTTATCGTTGTTGTTATCATCATTAATGTTTGTATTACCAAAATAATTATGATCATTGTTACTATTGTCACTAGTGATGGTGATATTTGTTGCAATAGACAATGGTGTTGGTCGTCATTATTGTAGTTGTTATTGTCACCATCACAATAATAATATCATCATTGTTGTAAAATTGAATTTTGTTAATAATTTTTTATTTTATTAACTAATTTGATGTTGTGTTTAGTTGTTTAATTGTTGTGAAAATTTAAGGATTTATGAATCTTAATGAGTTTTGTTGTTTAATAATTATTTTGAGTTAGGGTCAAACTTGGTCTGATTTATGGAAAGGTATATATAAGGTTTTTCTTAGTACTTGAACTTCAAAAGTTCATTTCTTATGAAACTTAAAGAGAAGTTAGGGAGAGAAGCTCTGAAGCCAAAATCCTCCCTTCTTTTGAGTTTTCCAAAGAGTGTTAGGATCCTTCCCCCGAAGTCAATGAGTAGCTGAGTATAGATTCAAAGCCTTTGAACCTGAGAATTAGAGATCATGGTGTGGTAGTGCAGAGTTTCCTTATAGGTCCTCCATATTCTCTTCTACATTTATTATGATTAATTTAAAGATAAGGGAATTTTTGGATATTCTTGTTGAATTGTTAATTAAATTGTTGCTTAAATTATACATCATTGTGAATGTGTTGTTAATTTTAGAAGAGGTTTCTCTTTCTTGGTGTTTTGGAGAAAAATTGGTGAATTTGATTTTTGTAATGGTTGCATGTTGCTTATCTTAATGAATGTGAGTTCAGTAGATTGTAATTGAGTAGGATTACTTGTTACATGTTGAAAATTTTGTTGAGTTTCATGTAGATTGAGCCAAAACATGAATCTATCAAGTGTAGAATTTACCATCACCTAGGTGCAACTTCATGACGCCAAACATGATCATGCAAATCAAAAGTTATCTTCCTCATTGATGTCAATCACATAGTGTTGGACGTGAGTTAAAGGAGAGTTCTCTGACTTGGTCATGTTAAAACCTAGTTAAGTGGCGTCAGGCGTAAATAAGGCAATAGCTTTTTACTTAGACAATGCCAAGCGTAGGTTGTATGGCATCGTGTGTGATTCAGGTAGAGGCTATCTACCTAAATAAGGTTGAGCATGGGGCTTAGCCATGTTAGATGTGATTAACACATGGATTCTTTGTCTCATCCATGCCAAACACAAGTGGAATGGCACCGAGAGTATATGAGTCAGAGGCTCTCTACCTTAGGGATGTTAGGGGTTGGGAGAGTGGTGTTGTGCGTGGGTTGTTAAATGAAATGTTGTTATTTATTTGACTAAGTGTTGAACATGTATTAAGTGAATTGAGTTACTCACATGATGTATGCTACTTAAGTTGCCATTTGTTTATGAATGAAAGTTGAAAATTGAATAGTAAGTTACATGATGACAAGAGGTGTAGTGTTGATAGCAATTATGTTATGAATACTTAATGCATGGAGTTGTACTATGTTGATTGACTTAGCATTAGAGGAGAAATGTTGTTTTAAAAGATGAATATCACATCGTGATGATATGATGTTGTGGTGCTTTGCAAACTGAGTTGTTGAAAAATTATTCTTGAGTATAGTTGACTCTTAAAGTGAAATATTGAGTCTCCTTAAGGTCTTTAGTTGACATCTATGAGGTCAGGTCGAACTATACATGTGACCAACCAAGTAAGGTACAAGATCAAGGCCAAAATTCCTAACTAAGTACTAAAAGGGACACAATATTTGGAAGGTAGTTAGCATGTTAAGGTCATGGTAGACTCACACCTAAGTTATTCTATCCTTGACAAAAATATTGGACTTTTCTAATTTAAGTGGCGAAATTTGATAAATCATATTATATAGTGGAATGATATCTAAATTTGTTGTTGATTTAGCAAGCCAAAAAAGATTATGTTTTTAAGTTGGTTTGGTAGGCTCAAACCACTTAAATTGTTCATTTGTGTTATAAGAGATTTTTTAGTTGAAATGTGACAACACATATACTTGTTGTGTTGTGCTTATGTTGTGATTGATAAGTTTTGTTATTCGTATGCTAAGTTGATATGTTGTATGACTGGATTGTAATATGTTGCCATATTGTTAAGTTGTAAAATTGTGTTGATATGTTGATCTGTGTTGTTAGGTTGAACCTTAGGTTGTTGTGAAACATTGAGTTGTTGTATAGTTAGTTTAATACTTCTATACTATGTTGGTATTTTTGGATTCAAGTTTATCCTTGCATTTTCCTTATAGTTAGACTAAGATGATCATATTTGTTATGAGAGTAAGATAATAATAGGTTGAAGGTTGTGCACGTTTTGTGAGCCATGCTAGAGGATGGCGGGGTTGTTTAATTTGAAGCTATTTTGATGAAACTGTTTTTGTAGTTGTTGCTAGATTAACAACTATGATTTATGTTACCAATTTGGATTTATTGTAAATATGTGTGTGCGTGTGTGTACAAAATTTACGTTGTAAATTCTTTAAGGAAGATATATGATTTCAGATGTTTATTTTCCTATATATATATATATATATATATATATACACACACACACACACACACATATATATATATATATATATATATAGAGAGGGGGGCAAAA